AATTAGTTTTATCAGGAGTCTTTGATCTGGATGTAGAAATTGTACTGCATTGTCTCCTCATAGCTGGAAATGACTGCCTCTATTACACAGCTGCTAGACATCTCTGTTTTTTGAAAAACCACAAAACCAAAGCAACAACAGGAAGGAAGAAAAATAGAAATTTACAACACCATGAAGTTAAAGAATATGCTACTGAATCACTAATGCGGCACTGAAGAAATGCAAATGAAGAATCTTGAACAAAATGATACTGCATATTGACTTTAGTGTCAGTTAAGAGTTTAATAAAGGAAAACAGTGCTTGGAAGAGACAAAACTAAAAAAAAGTCAAAATCCTTGAGTGAGATTTTTATCTGTCTTGATAAGTTATATTTCCTGTAAGTAACAATTAGATGATTGATGATTTTAAGCCATGTAGCCTCCTGGTTAATGTGCGTGGATGGTAATTTGCCCGGTACCCTGGCTTCCCCATCAGAAACAGGAGCTGCTTGGGGCCAGCCTGTCTTGGCCTTGCTATCCCTAAGTGAGAATGCAGCAGGGCGTGCTGACATACAGTTACATAGCCCTGTTGTTGCAGCAATGGGTTGTGTGTTGATGCATTCTTCCATTACTGCACTGGGATGCACATTTGCCTTTTGTTTGGTTGGGTGCTATTCCCCTTCTCTGTCAACAGAACACGTGTCAGTATCCTTTGTAGGGCATGTTCGAAAGAGAGACATTCTTTTAACTTTTCCTTACTGTGGACGAATTTTATTTCATTTTTGGAGAGTTAAACTTTTCTTGGTAGATTATCCTGGGGTGATAATTTTTTGCTGTTAGAATCTGGAATAAGTCACTCCATTCTCTTCTGGTGGGTAGAGTTTACTGTAAGAGGTGTGCTGTGAATGTAACTGGCATTCCTTTATACGTCAATGCTTTTTATTTTTTTCAACATTCACAATTAAGAATTTTTTCCTTGTTCCCAGTGGAAGAAAGCTAGATTATCTTATGTCGTGGTCACTTTTGGTCAAGCCTGTTGGGAGTTCTCTGCCCCACCTGGATGTTGTTTTCTAATTTTTTACAAAGCATGGAATTTTGCCTTACTATTTCATTTTACACATGTTGAAATACAGCATCTCCTTCTGTACTTTTTAGCGTTTCCCAGGTCTGCTTCCATACTTTTGATTATTTTCCCCTGGTGACAGGGAGTATCTTCCAAATCTTAGCTTCTTTCATCTGCTGTCCTCATTCTGCTATGTACACTATCCACTGTATTTTTAATTTCCTCCAATGTATTCTTAATTTATGATTAAGAATGTCCACTTTCATTTATTTCCTGTTTGACATATTCATTGAATTTCTTTTTTCAAGATTTATTTATTTATGGGAAAGTCTGATATACAGAGAGGAGGAGAGACAGAGAGGAAGATCTTCCATCCGATGATTCACTCCCTAAGTGACCGCTATGCTGAGCCGAAGCCAGGATCCAGAAACTTCTTCTGGGTATCCCACGCAGGTGCAGGGTCCCAAGGCTTTGGGCCATCCTCGACTGCTTTCCTAGGCCACAAGCCGGGAGATGGAAGGGAAATGGAGCTGCTGGGACTAGAACCGGCGCCTGTACAGGATCCCAGGGCGCATTCCAGGCGAGGACCTCTTGTATTACCTTTTGCAATTTCTTTACCTCTTGTATTGGATATAAACCAGCACAAGTATGGAATCCTGTCGTATGGAAGTCAATGAGCCACTGCGCTGTCACCTTCCTCATTCCTACTTATCTTAAAAAAAAAATGAGAATAGGCAACGATGCTGGCACAGCGTTATAGTTAGCAATATTTGACATAAACCAGTCCCAGGATGCCTGCCATTACTTGCTTTACTTCAGCAGTGAAAACACTTGCCGAGTTAAAAGACAACCAGGGCATTTGTGTGCAGTGCGGATGGATTAGACTCCTGGCAATGGGTTTGAGACAGCTCTGCTGCAGCCGGAGGCCAATTAGGGAGTGAACCGATGGCTGGATGTTACACATGACTGACAGGTATTACAAGAGAAGTGTGGAATGTTATGGGGTGCGGTCCATCATAGCCAGCACCCATTGACAGTGGGCAAGTGGCTGTATCCCCCCCCACCCTGCCCTGAAGGTGGGGCCTAACAGCAACGGAATGCTAATTTCATCCTCAGCCACTCCCCCGCACCGCCCACCTGTTTGCTCCTGCCTGCCTGTGCTCACCTGTCAACGGAGAGGGGACGGGATTGCATTGTTTTGTGACCACTCCCCTCACCAGCCCTTTAAAAGGCGCGGGAAGCGGGCCTTGCGCTTTCTGCTCAGGTCCTTCAGTTACTCAGCTACCTTGACTCTTGTCCGACCCAGCACAGGTAATCCCCTGCGCACGGTCCCTGAGTACTGCTGAGATGAGACAATGGCTATGCTAATGTTGTTTCTGGGCTGTGCACAATCAGGCGTTCCAGGAGAGGTGTGGCCTAGCAGTGGTGGGATGTGGGCAGGGAAGCCAGGGAAAGGTGAATGTTTGCAGGTTTTAATTGTGTCAGATTATGTGTTGCACGTGTCTTAGCATGACCCATAAGGTTGGGGAAGCTGGGACATAGATCTTAAGGTGAATGAATGTACTTAAGGGTAATGACCATTTGTTCTTTTTGGAATTATGTTTGCTTGAATTATGATTGATTGGGTTGCAATATGGACTTTTGACTTGCTATTTATAGAGTGCTCTGTTATCACCAAGCTTGGTTAATAAAGACTCCTTAATAAACCTTACACATGTCTGGGGTGATCTCGCACGCCCAGACTATCAGCCAGAAGACAGGACCTCATTGCCCATGGTCAGAGGCCTCATTTCTCAGCCCTGAGGCTCCCTGCGGTTTCAGCTTAGTTTGTTGTCATCATGGTAGCTAGCCACAATTCACTTTGAAATGCTAACACGTTAACTCGGTGTCGGAAAAGTGGACAGGATCAATCAGGTTCCTGCACTTCAAACTGCTCTGCTTGCTCTTTGTTTTCAAAATATTGAAAGACCCAAGAATGCAGAACATCGTGACAATTTCGCCATGTCTGTACTTTACCATCCTGGTCCAGGGTTAGGGTTAGGTGGAATCTGGCACCAGCACTTACTAGTCTCCACTACCCTTGATATCAGGTTAATGGGGAAGGGCTTGGGAAAGGAATGAGGGTGTGGCTGTACGCCATTAACCCCAAGCCAAGATGGCGCCCGCATGTAAACTAGTCTCAAGTCTCGCGGGGCCTCGGGGTGGCGGTTGGCGTGGAGTTTGGGGGGTCGAGGAAAGGAGGGAGGGGGAGGGAGGGAAACAGTCGGTTTAGCGCAGGCGCAGTAAACACAGTCGGGCTTCTGGCTTGCTGGCCCGTGCGGCGGCGGCGGCGGCGGCGGCGGCGGCGGGGGGGCGGGGCGGGCGGGCGGTCGGTCGCGCGGCGCTGCACAAATGCACAAACCGTCCTTCCACCGACCGGGCCGGGACTGCACTGTGTGTGCGTCTCTCTAGGTGCTCTCCTGCTCCGTCCAGGCGGGGGAATCTGTTGCCTCCCTAGGGATGTTTCCTTATTTCTTTCTTCTTGGATCTCTCCTTTCCTTTTAGACTCCCCCTCTCTCTGTTTTGATTGCTGAATACCGCCGCTTTCCTCTCTTTCTTTCGCTTTCTCCTTTGACCTGTCCCCTCTCCTTCTCCCACTCCCCTGCGTCTCAAAGAATTTCACTTCTGACTCCCACCTTTATTCGACATTGTTCATCTTTACATTCTCTCCCTTTTCCTAGAGCCTTTTCTCTCGCGGTCTCATTCTGGATTTATTTTCTTCCCTCATCTCTTTCACTCGTGTCTGTCTGGCCGTTTGTTTTGTGTGTGTGTGTGTGTGTGTGTGTGTGTGTGTGTGTTTCCCCTACTGCTTCCATTGCTTCCCTTTATGTTGTCTTTCTCCTTCCCTAGTTTTTGTGTTCCTGTTTTTTTTTTTTTGATTCTTACTTTTGCCTTCCTTTCAGTTCTCATTCTCATTCTCTCTCTCTCTCTCTCTCTCTCTCTCTCTCTCTCTCTCTCTCTCCCTCCCTTTTCTCTCTCGATGTTGGTGGTTCCTTTTTATTTTCTGGCTGCCTTTTCCCTTTACCTGTGTGTGACCAAGTGTATCCCCCCTTCCCCCAAGAATGTGCTGATAGGTCAGATTTATGCTGTCACAGCAGATGCGTGGTCATTCACTACTCCAACACGATTCTCCCCAATCAAAACAAAATGTTCACATTTCACCAGTAACAGTCACAACACAGTTTGGTTATAAATGAGAGGCAAGGCAAGGCAAGGCAAGCGACCTGGCGGCCGGGACCAGCCGGTACCCCCTGCAAGGGGAGGGAGGGAGGGAGGGAGGGAGGGAGGGAGGGAGGAGATGACACACATTTCCCTGCCTCTCTCGGATTCATTGTCCGGCCGTATGCATCCGGCGTGCTGTCCCTTTGTTCCTTGGTGCTGGCTGTCTGACTCCACCTGGTGGCAGGCAGCCTTGCTGTAGCTGTAGAGTGCTCCGGAGCCGGCAAGGGGAAGCGAGTGGGTGGAGAGCCCGGGACAGGGTGTGACAAAGTCCCCAAGCTGCAGGCGGGAGAGTCCCAGCCCTGCTGGGACCTGGCTGGCTCGTGTGCTGCTCGGAGATTGGGCCTGGAGGCTTGCAAGTGAGCAGGCAGGCAGCTGCAGGGGTGGTTAGGTGTCTGCGCGCTCCTGAATGTCACCTTGCTGGAGTACCGTTAGAGTGCATGGGGTCGACCAGCACTCCCTTTATCACTGCCTCCACACTAGGCCACCAGGTCGGGGCCGTTGTCGGGGCTGCGAGGCCCCGGGCCCCGGGCCCGACACTCGTCGCCCGCACTAGGCCACCAACCGGGTCGGGGCTGTCATTGGGGCTGCGAGGCCCCGGGCCCCGGGCCCCGGGCCCGACCCGACGCTCGTCACCCGCACTAGGCCACCAGGTCGGGGTTATTGTCGGGGCTGCGAGGCCCCGGGCCCCGGGCCCCAGGCCCCGGGCCCGACGCTCGTCGCCCGCACTAGGTCACCAGGTCGGGGCCGTCGTCGGGGCTGCGAGGCCCCGGGCCCCGGGCCCGACGCTCGTCGCCCGCACGAGGGGACCCGGTCGTGGCCATCATCGGGGCTGCGAGGCCCCGGGCCCCGGGCCCGACGCTCGTCGCCCGCACGAGGGGACCCGGTCGTGGCCGTCATCGGGGCTGCAAGGCCCCGGGCCCCGGGCCCGACGCTCGTCGCCCGCACTAGGCCACCAGGTCGGGGCCGTCGTCGGGGCTGCGAGGCCCCGGACCCCGGGCCCGACACTCGTCGCCCGCACTAGGCTACCAGGTCGGGGCCGTCGACGGGGCTGGCTCCGGGCCCGACACTCGTCGCCCGCATGAGGGGACCGGATCGGGGCCGTTGACGGGGCTGCGAGGCCCGGGGCTCCCGGCCCGACACTCGTCGCCCGCACGAGGGGACCCGGTCGTGGCCGCTGGTGGGACTGTGAGCGTGTGTTTGCTTTTCTAAGTCCTTGGGTCGACCAGGTGGCCACAGGAGCACGCCCTGTCGTCGATGGGTATGTTTTTGGGGACCTGTGACCCGGGCCCCCATCTGAGGGGGTGGCTGTGTCGCATAGGTTGTCCCCGTTGTCCCCTGGAAGGGCATTTGTACGCCTGCAGTTGTCATTTTGGATCTGCAGGTAGGTGCTGACACGCTGTCTCCTGGCGACCGTCGCCAGGAGAGCTGGGCCCCTGGGTTCGCGTCTGGGGGGCAGGGGGAGAGCGCGATGGGCTGCCGGCGGCCTGGCGTCGGACTGCGTCTCCCCTGCCCATCCGGCGGCCGAGCTGCCTGCCTGGGTTCGTGCGGCAGCTTCGGTGTGCGATCCCGGTTGAGCCCTGCGACGGTGCTGCCATCTCCGGCTTACGATTTGCCCCGAGAGCGGCGGGGGTGAGGCCGGGCGCTGGGTCCTATACCCGTGTCCGCTCTCTGCCGCAGGCGGCCCGTTGTGTAGCGGTGGCTGACGAGACCCCTTCCTGAGACTGAGTCGGTAGTAGCGGCTTCATGCCGCGTGTGCGTGTCAGGCGTTCCTCCGCTGGGGTTGGCCACCGCCGCTGAGGAGGCAAGGGGCCGGTGAGGCTGCGACGGACCCCCTCTCTGGCGGCTGTCCTCGCCGGGCGTGACCCCCTGTGCCTCGCGTGATGTCACAATTCCAGACCGCGACTGACCGATGTGGTGATGTGGCGCTCTCCCGGGCCGGGCCTAAGCCGCTTACAGACGAGGGACGGCCGTTCATGGCGAATGCTGCCGAGCTTCTCGTTCTGTCTTGCGGGCTCCTGGTTCCTCTTTCCCCTGCCTCGGTGCGGTGGGAGAGGCCAGGGGTGCGGAACCCGGCTCGATCTCCGCTCCCTCTGCCTCGTGCCGCCTGGAGGTGCGCTGGTGTGGGGGTCCGGGCGGGGGTCCTCGGACGTGGCGGACACCCTTCGCCCTCTGCCGTGCCGGCGTGTCACGGCGTGGGCGGGCCCCCTCCCGCGGTGGTGTGGGGCTCGTCCGGCAGAGTCCGGCTCTGCTCGGCTCTGTGCGGTGCTCCTGGAGCGGTCCGGGTCGTTTGCCTTTCAGGCGCCTGGAACCGAGTGGTGGTGTCGCTCCCTTGCCACCCCAGCGTGCGCTCTCCCGGGTGTGCCGCTGCAGCCTCCTCGCTGGTGTGTGCTGCCTGGTGTGCGGGAGCCTCTGGGGGGTCGAGGTGGTGAGGAAAAGGAAGCGTTGGGCGCAGCACCGGCTGCTGCTGCCACGGCCCGTGGCCTCGCCCGGCCGGCCTCTGGTGCCCCCTGCGCGTCCGTGGGGGGGCAGGTGACTTCCTTACCTGTGCCGCAGACCCCTCCGCCCATCCTCGGGCCCGTCCCCCGGGTTGGGTTGATGCTCCCTTGGTGTTGGGGCCCTTTGTGCCCGGTGAGAGGCGCACGTGGGGGCTGGCGGGGTGCGGCTCGCCTTCGGTGAGAAAAGCCTTCTCTAGCGATCCGAGAGGGACGTGCCTACGTGATGGGGTGCCGTATCCCCCGCTTGCCGCGCCGTTCCTTCCTCTTCCTGGTGCGTGTCGGTAGCCACGCTGCTGACGACGCGGATGGCTTGGGTTGTTGTGCGTTAGGTGGCGATGGTCGCTCGTTCTTCCCGGCCCCTTCCGCTGGGGGCCGGACGCTGCCTCTCGCGCCTCTACCTTGCCGTGGCCCGCGCCTCCCCCCCGTGTCGGGGGAGGGTCCCGCTGGGCCAGGGCCGGGCGTCCCGTTGCCTTACGGGCCCGACGGAGGGGCCCTGCGGTCGCTCGCATGCCTCTGGTGTTGTCTGGCCTTCCGCTTACCACCCGGGGCCCCTGGGGTTGCGTGTGGCTTGTCCCGCGCTGCCCCTGTGGCCCTGGCGTGGGGTGGCTCTCTGCTCGCTTCCCGCCCTGGGCTGTCCGCGGCCCGCTGGCCGGTCGCCGCCGGCGAGGGTGGCGGCGGCGGGGCCACGGGTTTGGGCCCGTTGGGTCTCCCCTCGGCCGCATCGGCTTTGGGAGCGTTCCCGCGGGGTGGCGGCCCCCGGGGCCGGGGGCTCGGATGTTGGTGGATGGAGACCCCAGGAAGCCGGTGGCAGTAGGTGCCCGGTGTCGAGAGCGTTGGCGGTGTCGCATTGTGGGCCCCGGTGGGGGGCCTCAGGTGCGCGTCGGGGAACGCGTGGGGTCGCTGGAGGCGGGCTGCCGGCGTCCCAGGCGTGCCACGGGACCGCGCGGGCGTGTGGCGGTGGCATCCCGTGTCCGTTTTCCGGGAGGACCCGGCTTTTGTTGGCCCGAGGTGTTCCCCGCGGCTCCCCGTCGCGCCTCTGGCGCCTCTCCCCCCGCGGTCTGATGCCATGCCCCCGCAGGTGGCCCCCTCGCGGCCCGCTGCGGCCTCGTGTCGCTTGCGTGCGCCGGCGAGCCCTCTTTGGGGTCGGGGGTCAGATGGCTGCGACGGTGTGGCCTGTGGTGCTGCGGGGCCTGGCGTTCACCCCCATCGTCGGAGGCGGTGTGTGCGTGTGAGGGGTGGCCGAGTCGCGCGGTGGCGTGTCCCCGGCTGTGTGGCTGTGCCTGGCGCCTCCCCTCCCCCCATGCGGGACCGCCCTTGCGCCTGGAGGGTGCTGGCGGTGAGATCCCGCGTGGTGCGGGGGGCTGGTGTGCCGCCTGGCCGCCATCCGGTTCGACGGTCCCGTCCGTCCGTGTCGAGGAGGCCCTCCTCTCCCGTGCCCCCGCTCCGCGCTTGCGGGGGTCCGCCGGCCCTCGGCTCCCAGTTGTCACCGTTTTGTCAGGCCTCGCTCGCTGGCCGGGCGGCTCCTGCTGCCGCGCCTGCTGTGTGCGTCTCCAATCTCGCTCTTCATCCGTGTCCCGGTCCCGGGTCTCCGTGACCCTGTGGTGCTTCGCTCCCCGGGTCCCGCTGCGGCCGTCGGGGAAGGCGCTCGGGCTCCTTCCCGTGTGTCGCGCCGCCCTTGCCCCGTCAGGCGGCGGTGGCCGGTGGCGTGGCTGCCGGCGGGTCGGCTTGTCGGAGCGGCGCGTGTGCGCGGGGGTTGAGGTCGGTGAGGTCGGGTCGCTGGGGGGCGGCTGGTGTGTCCCGCTGCCTGCCCCTCCCTCCCTCCTCCCTCTCCTCGCCTCCCCTCCTCCTCTTCCTTCCTGGTGGCAGTGTCGGTGGTCTTCCCGGACCCGGCGTTGTGGTGCCCGCGTGTGGGCTCTTCCTGAGGCCGCGGTCGGCCGGTTCCTCGGCCCCGTCTTGCGTCGCGAAGTTGTATGGGCGGCTCGGCATCGGCTGTGCACCCCCGTTGTGTGTGTGTGGGGAGCGTCGTGGGCCCGGGCTCTGGCCCCGGCCCCGTCGCCCCCTCTCCTCCTCCGCGGGTGCTTGCCTGTTGCCTGCCGGCCCCGGATGGAGAGGGTCGTCTCGGGCGCCGCTGTCGCGTGCCCCCCTGCTCCATCTCCCCCGCGCCTGGCTGCCGCTGTCCCACCCCGGCGGGGAGTGGTGTGGTGGCGGTTGGCTGGTGGTGCGTGGGCGGGGACGGGGCTCCGGCCCCGGCTCCCGCGCCCTCGCGCCATCCCCAGCCACCCCCGCCGAGGTCGGCGCGTGCGGGCGGGAGGCGGTCGCGACGTCGAGACGGCCCGTGGTGCCGGTCTCCCCCGCTGGCTTCTCAGGTTGGCTCTCGCGTGGTGTTGGCGACCTCGCCGTGTCGGGAGCTCCGCTCCTCTGTCCGCCCGGTTGTGGGGAGGTAGGCTGGTGAGGGCGAGGGGTTGTCGGGGGTGGGGTCAGGCCGGTGGGGGGGGCTCTCGCCGCCCCCCTCCGGTCGCCCCTCCTGCGCCTCTCCTCCCCGTCATCCCCCGCCGCCGTTGTCGCCTCCGCTCGCCGGTGTCTGCCCGCCCGCGGGGCTGGTCGAGTTTCTGCGAGCTCCTGCTTG